CCCTCGCTTACAGATTTTTTTTAATTTATGGAATAGGTTGGCAAACGAGCACACAGATTACCTGATGGTAAGCAATGCCGCCCATGGACAGAATACCAAAAGAGGAGAACAAGTGCATTCCTGACATTTTGGGGGTTATTAGGGGTGTAAGGATTTTGAGATTAAGTATAGGGGAAAGAATGGAGCACCCGTTAATCTCACTCACAAGGTGAAACACAACGTAAGATCATACTAATTTACCCTTCACTTCATAATAATGACCACAACAACTTCTTAAATATCAAAACTTATATAACTGTATGCGCTTTGGTGTTATGTAAAGCCGATTAAATATTTATGAACTAAACAAGAAAACTGAAAGAACTTAATCAATTTGATAGTTTAGTGGCCATTAATCATTGAAGTTCAATATTAACCATTAATCATTAATATAAAAAAAATCAGCGTGAAAATTACAGCTTTCTTTTGCCATGCGATTGAGGGTAACGTAAGCCTAAACCTTCCCGTCCCTCCCCAATCCCTAAATCTCTTACCCCCAAAAAACCAGCAACTCACAATTCATCTGGTGTTGAAGGTGTCCATAGGCAGCACCAATTGCTTACTATCAGGTAATCTGTGTGCTCGTTTGCAACTATATCACATATAAAGAAGTTACTCCAACATAACATGCATTTCAATGATCAAATGCGTAAGCAAAGGCGCACATAGGCGACGCAAGAATTATTATTACCGGGTAAGTTCGGGTTACTTTGACCCTGCGGGGTAACTTTGATCCAAACCCCTTAACAATAATAACTGAGAACCAAACGTATATTCGTTTTTCAGTGGTTCGAAAATTTGGATCAAAGTTACCTCCCAGGGTCAAAGTAACCCGAACTTACGGTATTCACCTCTCTCTCTCATTTAATTATCTCATTTAATATAGGGTAAAACTATTACACTCCAGACCTTAAGCAGTACTATACTCCTTGGATTTAAGCGTTTATGAAAAGTAATACTTTTAATAGTTCAACGCGAAAACGCAACCGAGATCAACGAGGCAGTCCGCTCTTTAGAAACTACTTTGTTTTGTTTACTTCATTTTAAATGTTTGATAACACTCCATACACTAATAAACACTGTCTTATAAATAACACATAATGATACGCTTCGGAGTTATGCTGCAAGTTTGTAACTACATTTGTGGATATTCTAATGCAGAGGTCGAGAACCATTGCATGCGTATCGAAAATGTTAACAAGTTCACGCTACGAAATATTTTGGGCACATCACTGATCAGAAATCAACCAATAACCGCACTTGTGATGACTCTAGTGAAGGTTGAAAATGATCCGCCCTAGATTTCTTGATTTTTCTTGATTTTATGATCATTTGATGATTTTCCCTTCACAAAAAAAAAGCATCTATACTAATAAGAAATATAATTGTATGACAATATTTAAGTACCATGGGTCTAATTTAAATCAAAAGTGAGTACTTTTTTACTGGACGAGCTTAGATCGTATCGTCGGAAATAAATGGAAGCACGTTAAACGAACATTTCCTCCTTGATAAACTGATTTGAGTGCCCCACTACCCGCTAGTTATTGGCCGTAAGCATAACTGCCGAGTACAAATCCCTAGTTTCAATACGGTACGGTAGTTTCCAACTAGTCAAATTCAATACTTTTATTCAAATGCGTCAAAAACTATACTTTTCTTTTTGACGCTATAGGTAGTATTTTGCGTCTAATAGATTACTTATTTCTTAAAAATTTGCTTAAAAAAATATCGAATATCGTGTATCGACAGATCGATGAATAAAAGTTATATTAATATATAATATTTTATTGTATTGAAATGACCTAGGAAACTACCCAATTCTCTTACCCTCGAGACCAATAAACTACCTGTATTATTGATAAATTATTGTATAGGTAAGCCGAGAAAGAATTAGATTTTACGTGTGCAAAGCAAGTTAAAAAACTAGTGCCATGTCACATTAATGTGTTCAATGCATATAGGTAGTAATAAAGCAGCCAGTTCTGCTATGGATAATTTCACCCGCATTTGGCGTTCCATACTTCAGGTGATTCGCAATATTGAACCGTATTACAACAACATGTAATACGCAACATAGAAATTTAATAAAGGCCCCAAGTAAATTAAAAAAAAAAAACTCAATTATTGTTGATTCATTCAAGTAAAATCTGTATAAAATCCCACACATGTTACGTATGTGTATAAATAGAAATATTTCGCAGAAGATATCGTGCTGTAGTGCTCATAGGGCCGTTTTAAAATGTTCTTTGATAGATTCGATTTAATATAAGAAGTTTGTTTAAGATTTAATAGAAATTGCAAAAGAAGCTAATATTTTGATTTATACGTGATAAGAGAATTAGATACACAGTAAATTAATTTCGCTTTTACATACTTGAGTAACAGAAAAGTAAAGATAGTAAGTAATAAAGTATATATAAAAGGGTCTTACAACTAAAATTTCATTCGGTGCGGTCTGATAGAGTGCCGTCTAATCAGTTTGCTTGTTCCATTAACCCCGCACGCAAGTTAAACCAGTTATAAACTATTATTTAATGTTATATCACTTCAGTGATTATGTACTTAAGGTATTGTTGTATCTTGTACATATGTACAAGTACAAGCAATTGAATCGATGTACAAAATCCCACAATAGTCGGAAAGATGGTACTTCCGCGGTTAAATACAAATTGAATTCACTTTGTAGGTACCCATTACAAATACCAGAGCAATGATTAGGATCAGAACGTAATATAAATCTGTTACTGAATGGAGAACGTAGTATTTATCAAATAAAGTGTAACGCTAATTGAATTTCCCGGTAGTACAAGTACGAATAATGAGATCGGGAGGTTTCGGTTGCACCGCGGCGGCGGGTAGGTAGATCAACATGGCGAGCGGGCGGATGCTGCGCGCTACAGCCTCCGCCACGGGCGTAGTACGCCGAACAAAGCCGCGTCCCACCCTACTCGCTTCCTGCCTCCGTTTCAGCCGCTTCCGGTCAACTCGTCCGTAGCACATTTTCATGTATGAAACTAACACTGATTTGGATGAATATGATAGGAACATTCACTTTATAATTAAAATATTGTACCGATATCGACGTACAGTGATATATAGCTGTGGATGAGAGCAAGGAGCGTGTATGCGCGTGTGTCGTCGAGAGCGCGGTCCGCGGGCTACTGGCGGCAGCCTCCGAGCGGGGGCGCGGGGGCGCGGGGCTGCGCGGGCCACGCTTTTCATTAAGGAGCGGAGCTACGCCGCCGTAGCAACGGTCGCCGCCCCGGCCACGGGAAAGCTCCCAGCCCTTGTGATTTATCTCCGAAATCTCTAACAAACCAGCGGTGTTTTCCCGAAAAGTGGTTTACGCTTTCATGCTACAGTTCTACTGTAACAGAACTGAATTTATTTTTATTATTTACTCTCTTATATATAGGATATAGTAGGTTATGTAAAATACTATAAATTCGGTAAAATGTATTTTATATAAAAAAGGTTCTCTCTTATTACCTACAACAATAAATGCTGTAGATTTTTAACGAAAATAAAACTTATCAAAAAACTTAAACCATGTAATGTTACTTAACGTAATTTTCTTCGTAGTTCACGTTATAACTGGAAACTAGTAGGTAGGTACATACTGGGTACATATGAGGTAACCTCATGTGAGTAATTCATTAATTTCAATACATTTATGATAGATCATCGCTATTTTTTTTAATCTTACACGTACACACACTTTGAATTCGAGTGGGTGCGTTTACAAACATATTCATATACACATCACTCCTAGATCCGGAACAACAATTTGTGCATCACACAAAGAGTTGTTACGAGCGGGAGTCGAACCCGCGACACGTTCCGCTGCAGCCAGTTGCCATTCCATCGCGTCAACTGAGCAGGCAAACCTGATATTATCTTTACAGAGTGTAATAAAATTAAATGACGTGCTTTGATTGAATTTCAATGATACATTTTCATGACATAGGAACAGGATTTACATTTTTAATTAAATGTAATATTTGTTTACCTTACCTACCAACTGCAAATCAAGATAAAAAGGTTTTATTGGATGGGAGGGAAATTATTACATACCTTCTCCCGCCCTAAATGGGAGAAGTCACGACTCTTACTGACTAAAATCACCCCAGTCCTTCTCCTGCTCCGGGCCGAGCGGCGTGCACCCGCAACCCCAAGTCTGTGGTGTTCTTATAGTTGGTGGCTTTTGAGGTGCATTCGGAATGCGTGCCCTATGCTCGGATCTGGTTCTGGTCGGTTCAGCTGCAACTCACCGCAGACCCGCGCTTACAGTGGCCGAAGACCATCGCGCGAACCCCGATTCCGGTGTCTCCTGCGGCGGCGGGGCATGAGGAGTATAGTTTCCTTACAATATGTTCCTTGTTCTTAGCGAGTATTGCTGCTTCGGAGAAGGATGGGTTCCCAATTGCTCTGCTTTTTTTTGTGAGGGGAAAATCATCAAATGACTTCTCCCGCCCAGGGCCGGGCAGGAGGGAGTGTCAGACTCTTACTGACTAAAAACCCCCCTGTTCCTTCTCCTGCTCTGTGCCGAGGTCGCGGTACCTCATTGCGCTTACCCCGCAACCCCGGCTGAACATCAGCCCTTTAGGGCCCCATCTGTGGTGGTCGAATGGCTCTTTGAGGCGCGCGCGGAACGCTACGCGCCGTACGCTTGGGCCTGGTTCTGGTCGGGCGGCGAGCTGCCCTTACTCGCCGACCGCAGGCTCGTATAAGGTAAGGTATCAATACACCTTGCCTCCCTCTATACACCAAACAATCAAAAATAGTAAAAAAGATCTACCAAATTCTAGCATATAAGGACTCCTTGGCTGAATTGTTTTTCTTTTATAATTTTGATGTATTTGTCATAAGTTGGACATATACCTATTTTCCTAATTAACATACTCATAGTTTGTAAATATTATATTTTATTGTATAACTACATTACTTTTAACTTACAAATGAATAAGCGAGAAGCGGCCGCATTCTTATTTACCATCGCTAAAGAAATTCAAGAATCTTTCGCTAGTCCTGTGATTTTCTTTACGCGTAAAGATTACGCTGAACATGTATTTGATGCCTTCAAAAATATTCGCAAAGCGCTATTGGAAAATACTAGTCCAGCAGCTATCGTCGATATCGTTTTTGCGTTTCACATGGAGTGGCTGCATGCTGTAAAAGAGATAGAAAATTTTAAGGAAAGAGTAAAAGATACACCTCGAGATGTTGTTCTTAAAGCCATAACTTTTACCATAGAATGTGTCCAACAGAGACACTTTCGCATTCGAAAATATATTGAGAAAATACAAACTTCAATGACTAAAGATGAATATACTTTAATTCAAACAGATCTTTCAATAATTAAAGAACTGCAGGATATTGTTGCCACTTCTCTTACAGAGAAGTATCATTATATTAACTCTCTTACAGATTACGCAGATTACTATACTAGAATTAACGATGAAATAGAAGAACTCTTATATTGGTTAGATAAGTTAAATGATAATTTGGCAGTTGAGTTCTGTAAAATCGTAAATTTTAATGTACCTCTGAGGCCGTATGATCTAACAAAAACGCTGCAAGATATAATTGAAGAAGTTGCAACTGATCCAACACCAGAAGCCCAGAGAATAGCTGAAATAGTCCATGTTACAGGGCAGGTGTTAAGTTCTAAAATGCGCCTTAGCTCAATAAATGAACTTGAAATAGCTAAAATTGTTGAGAAAATTAAAGCACTCGAAAAACGTATACACCGATTACAATCTCAACATTCTTCTGCTTTAATGGCTCTTAAGCATAAAACTTCGTTTTTAGAAGAACGTCTGCAATCTCTACAAAATATTAAAAAAACTATATACAAAATGAAGCACAAGGAAGACGGTGACAATCTCACTGAGACTGAAAACCAGAATGAACCCAAAGATATGCATATTTTTTCTCATTTACTGCCACATAGCGATCGTTGCCGTCTTGTTGATAAATTGCTACAATTATGGAAGAGCGCAATGATAGAATCTAATAATGAGTCGGTAATATCTATATTGAGTGTTGCACATTCGAATGAAATGTTCACTGATGAAAATGGGCATTTCACTGTAGACAAATATGGAAGAAAGATTTACCGTAAACCAGGCGATGACCAATTATATCAATTAAATGAACATAATAAACTGGTCCTTCTCCAAGATGATGGAAAAGTTGTTTATTTTTATGACGCCTGTGGCAGATATTACATAAGTGATGCAAGAAAACGAATTTACAAAGATCATGACGGTGCTAGTGAATATATGCTTACCCAGACTGGATACCTTGTTAAGGTCTTGGAAGAAAAAGATGGTGTACAATATTTTTATGACTGGCTGGGCCGATATTATATTAGGAAAGAAGATGGACGTCACATTTATACTGAAGAAAACTCACCTGACGAATATGAACAGGACGGTTTGGGTAATTTAGTAAAAATCCACCAGGAGCCTTTTATTTATGAACCGTGTCCATTGGAACCAATGACTATGAAAGAAAATGAATATATCAAGCAGGAAGTTGGCCAGGCTCTAAAAAAATGTATAGCACAAGTAGTATTAACGCAACCCATGGATCCTGTTGCTTACTTGGCGGATTGTTTGACGCAATATAGTAAAAACATTAAGGAACGCGAGCAGCTTATAAAGAAAGAAAATGAAAGGGAGGAACTTAGCAGACTATTGCATCTTAATACTCCTAAAGAAGTTTCAATTAAATGTTCTAGCAGCGGTGAAAATATTGATGATATTAACTTCTTAAACTATGGGTATGACACCGACGCGAGTTTTTACACCTAGTAGGTCATAATAAAAACACGTGGTGTAGGTTATGAACCACAGTCAATCCCTAACAAACCCTAAAAAGTCGGCGTTGCACTTGTTACTTCTTTGTTTTGCGGTTTACGATGGGTGGCCGATCGCTTACCACCAAGTGATTCGTCTGATCATTTGCTGTTTTACTTATGCCAGAAAAATTCTGTGAACTCGAATGTATTTTTTTTCTTTTGATTTATTTAGTATCTCCTTGATTATTTCCTAGCTATTATTCTTAGACGTATACACATCTTCTGTAACACACTGTAACTGTTTTAAAATTCAATACTTGTAATTATTTTATTGTTATTTTTAAATATAACTACGTTCATTTACCTACTGAGTTTACTGCAGTTCTTTCTAGTGTGTTCACAATAAGTTCACTTGTCACTGAATAGGGAGGCGGATACAACAAGCCCTAAAATGTATAGCCCCACTTACCAACTTTTTTACAAAAAATAAAGTAGGTATATTTGGGTTAAACAGTAGTTTTGAAAAACAGTTTTTTACATATTTTTTAGAACTTTCCGCACCACTTATTAATTTAGAATCTTTTGTAAAAACTTCATATGCCTCTCTACGAAGTTTTTTAAAAAGAGCGTGGTGGCGACCTCTCGCCCCCCGCCTTAGTCGAGGACATGGTGGGGAGCGAGAGAAACTGGGAAGCCGTCTCCTCTTTCTGTTAAGCAGTCATACTCGCAACGTTGAACACGTGTCGAGAACATTTTTGATTTTACACATTTACACAATAATAGCCAAAATAAACGTAATAAATTGCGGGTCTGCACTTCTAAAAGGTCCTTTCATGGCCCATGTTTTATTACCTATATAGATTTAAAAAAACCGGCAAGAGCGTATCGGACTACGCTCAGTGTAGGAATCCATAGCTTCCCGTCTGTCACAATAAGTATTCATTTAGTTATTGTAAATCTGAACCGACCGCACCGCAATCGCTCTTTGCCCACTGTAGGTACACCTCGTGAGACCACCTAGGTGTGCAGTAGGATTTTTTTTTCCCACTGTTCACATTTGTTCACCTGGGTGTACCGTGGGAAATATAAAATTTCCTCCGCCCACTTTATTATTACGGGTGCCATGAAGTGGTAATTTGAGTTCAGGAAAAAGATAGAATTCGGCTGGACCCATATCTGGCGAATATGGTGGCTGCTCGATGGTATTTGTTGAGTGTTAGGTCAAAAATTCATTATAATTAAAATTAAAATCAAAATCACAATGATGGCCTTGTACCAAGGCCATCATTGTGAACGAGGCCATGCCAACCAAGGCCATCATTGTGCCTTCGCACATGGCCACCGGAGCAGCAGCAGATACGGGTCCAGCCGAATTCTATCTTTTTCCTGAACTCAAATTACCACTTCATGGCACCCGTTTACAATCAGTAGAAGACAGAGGAGAATATCATAATGCATAATATGTTTTAATCATTAATCACTTTGCTCTTCAGATATAAAGAGTTTTGATAATAAAGTAGGCGGAGGAAATTTTATATTTCCCACGGTACACCCAGGTGAAGGGGATTGTGCGATCCATGGCCCTCTTCGAGGCCCCTGTGACGGCGCCGGATTGACTTGGCTATCCGGATAATCCGCGGATATCGCACGATCTCCGGTTAGGCGCCTTGCCGGATCACCGCCGTGGGATCTGGAAGCGAAGGCGCTCGCGAGCGTCCACAGTTTGCGCGCAGACGCGCGTCGCCGAGGCGAAGATCCTCTGCCGCGCCAAATTAGTACGTGGCGGAATGAGCTCCGGAGAGATCTCATGGCTGAGTGGAAGCAGCGACTGTCGCGACCGAGGGCTGGGCTCGCTACTATAGCAGCGGTAAGACCCCTCTTTGAGGAGTGGCTTGAGAGACGCCACGGCGTCCTCGCCTTCCGCCTGACGCAGGTGCTTACCGGGCACGGCAGCTTCGGTAGGTTCTTGTTTCGGATCCAGCGGGAGGAAACGCCCGAGTGTCGTCATTGTGAGGACCACCTAGAGGATATGGTGGAGCATACGGTAGCGGTATGCCCTGCCTGGAAGTGATCGGCGGCGGCGACCTTTCGCGCCCAGTCTTAGTCGGGGCCATGGTGCGGAGTGAGAGGAACTGGGACGTCGTCTCCTCCTTTTGTGAAGCAGTCATGCTCGCAAAGAGAGAGGCGGCCCGCGTGAGGGAGAAATCCTCCTCCTCACGCCCCAGCCGCCGCAACTGGCGACACTACGGGCGTCGGGGATCAAGGGACGATCTCCGGCCACCGTAAGCATGCGTCTGCGGTCGGCGAGTAAGGGCAGCCCGACCAGAACCAGGCCCGAGCGTACGGCGCGTAGCGTTTCGCGCGTGCCTCAAGGAGCCAATAGACCACCACAGACGGGGCCCTAAAGGGCTGATGTTCAGCCGGGGTTGCGGGATAAGCGCAATGAGGCACCGCGACCTCGGCCCAGAGCAGGAGAAGGAACAGGGGGTTTTTAGTCAGTAAGAGTCTGACACTCCCTCCCGCCCGGCCCTGGGTAGGAGAAGTCATTTGATGATTTTCCCCTCAAAGAAAAAAAAACCTCCAGGTGAACAAAGGTGAACAGTAGGAAAAAAACTTCCCGCTGCACACATAGGGGTCTCGCGAGGTGTACGGTGGGCAAAGAGCGACCGCAATTCACCGTAAGTAGCAGAAGTACAGCGCTATCTCTTACGGAATTGGGTTACTAATTTATAACAAGATAGACGTGTTATGTTGTAGGTATGTTAAGTTTTTGGTATTAATTATGGATTACGTAAACCGATTTTATTAATTATTTTTTTATTTGAAAGAATATACATTCAGAGTAATAAAATATATAAACAAAGTAAAACAAATGCTTGCATATACGGCTAAATTACAAAATTAGTTCCGTTTTTTATCCTAGAAAATATTTATGACATTCGATATTTTCTAAACTTATATTTTTAAAATTTTTGGAGCGATTATTTTCAAAAATATTTTAATTATCAAAACGGTACATTATTAAACCGAACCCCTAATCGTTAATAAATACCTATCCAACGATATATCTACATATCACACCTAGGTAAGGGTTAAAAAGAAAAAAGGGGGCACCCTAATAAAATATTTTTTCCGCGTGATTGATATACCTACATATTGGTGACACAGCTTTCTAGTGCCAACGGTCACTTAGATTATCCAACGGACAGACAGACATAGCGAAACTATAAGGGTTCCTAGTTTACTACGAAACCCTAAAAATGAAATGGTGCTTTAAGTTTGCTTGTTAGTGGAAGTTTTGCGGAAATTGCATAGTTATTATTGTGGCAGTGATCAAATCAAAATATTAGTAGCCAAATAATAAAACTTTCTAACTTTCGCGTTTCATATTTACAACATAGGTAAGTTACGCGGATATTAACGAGGAAAATAGCATAGCTGACAGTCTGCTTCTGACCACGACCTGTGCAACCGGGTCGAAACGTCAAGCCTACCAAGGTATTCAAATAATTATTTTCCGCGTTAATACCCGCGAAATTATGTTTCAATTAATAAAACATTCGACTTCGGGATATTTTTAACATGTTGGTTTCATATTCTATTATTCGAGTCGTTTTCATAGTTAGTCTAGAAAATTTGGCTTATGCACGAGAGTAATACGGGTGGTAATACAAAAAAAAACAAGTAGAAAAATACTTTCGAAATAAAACTTCAGTTTATTCTGAATAAAGTTTAACATTATTCTTACATCTACTATAATTATAGTAAATTATTTATTGGTTGTTTTGTTTTTGTTTTTATTTTTATTTTTTTTCTTCCCTTGTAAGTTCGGTGACTGATTTACGGAATTACTGCTAGTGTTGGGGCCTTTCGCTTGATCTGTGTTTACTACATTCGGCTTATTTTTGTTCTTACGATTTTTCTTATTCTTTTTGCTACTGTTTTCTGTGGGCTGGGCCTTATCGACTTGTACTTTGCTGAAAAGGTAAAAAATAATTGTAAAAATATAAAAAATAATATTTACAAGCAATGAATACGTTCTTTCCAAAATTTCCTTGTTATGTTTAGTGTAGTAACATGATACTTATTTTCTCATTTTTAATAGAAAATAAAATTACTATTTTCTACTTTACTCATTGGAAAAATGTGAAAAAAACTGTCAATGTGTAAGAGAGAGTCCCTACATGACGAATATGCAATAAAACGCAAACTATCGTTTTATTTATTACATTACGATATTATTTGTTGGAACGATATGACTTTAATTGAATTAAAAGTATGTTATGGTTCAGTTAGTATGCATGAAGATACGAGAAAATATTTTTATGTAGTGCACTGATGCACTGTTGTTATAATTGTACAGTATATCTTAAATTGGGATTTTGGTCACACATTATAAAAAAAAATAACTCTTAAATAAAAGTATGGAGGCTTTTTACTGTGGTAATTAACTTACTTTGGCGGAGCAGGTTTGGCTCCTGCTTTGGGCTTAGGTTGTACTTTTGATTTAGCTGGTACACTAGGTTTCCCTTGTACATTAGTTTTCGCTTGAACATTAGGTTTTGCTTGTAAATTCGGTTTAGCTTGTACATTAGGTTTAGCTTTCTTCTGTTGTGGTTGAGCGCTATCTGCTGGAGCAGGTCGTTTCACAGGACCCTGTTTCTTGTTTTCCGATTGAGTTTTTTCTTCATCTGAATCAACATCGTCATTTTCTGTAGCCTTTTCCGTTGATTTACCATCAATTTCCTCATCATCTTCATCTTTGAAAGGTTCCGGCTGAAATATTAGACATTATATTACTAATTAATACTTAAACTTGACACACTGTTAGGAAATTACTTTGACAACTAGCCAATACTTACAATTACATTGGAGAATTTCTTTAACTTTGCCACAAAGAAACCATCCATATTATGAGTGTGAGGATAAAATCTTCTAGTTAGCTTCAATGAGGGATGGAACCTATGATGCCTGTATTTCACAAAACCTTCAGTACCAAAGTCCAGTCCAGTGGGCACCAGTTTCACATTTCTGCGTTTCAGTGCATAGTTGACTACCCATTCATTTTCTTCTGGCAGAATAGAACAAGTTGAGTATACAATATAGCCACCAGTACTAGACTTGGCACTGCAACAGTCAATAGCAGCAAGGAGCAATTGCCTCTGAATATTGAAGCATCTCTGGATATCCTTCTGGTCTTTAGTTGTCTTCACACTAGGGTCCTTGGCGATAACTCCAGTACCAGTGCAGGGAGCATCCAGCAACACCCTGTCAAAGCCTTTCATTACATCAGGGAACTCTCTACCATCATGGTTACAAATAACAGCATTCACTACTCCCAGCCTGTGGAAGTTACCAACAATAGCTTTCGTTCTTTCCTTATTAGCGTCATTAGCAAATAATGTACCAGTATTCTTCATAATAGCTGCAATATGAGATGCTTTTCCACCTGGTGCAGCACACATATCCAAAATCCTTTCATTTTCCTGAGGTGCTAAAGCCATTACAGGTAAGAAACTAGATGCACCTTGCAAGATGTAGTGGCCAGCCAAATACTCAGGAGTTGCACCAATGGGTACTGTAGAGCTGTACACAACCAGACCGACTTTACTCCATTTACCCACAGGATCTAAATTGACACCTCTGTTGATGAGAGCTTGAGCTAAGTCTCGCCTTCTAGTCTTCAAGCTGTTAGTTCTGATAGTCACAGGCCGCGCAGTTTCACTGGCTTCCAAAAATTCAACCAATTCCTGGACTGGAAAGATTTGCATGAGAACTTCCATCAAAAATTCATTGTAACTGTAATATGTGCAGAGGTCTTTTAGAAGCAGGTCAGTATACTCGCAACGTGATCTGCCGTCTTCTTTTAGGCGGTTGAAATCTCCCAAAACTGTAACAACATCCTTAATTCTTTGATGTACATCTTGGAGGCTAGCTGGATTCTGTAGTTCCTCTTCAGATGGGAAAGCAAATACATCTTGTTTAGCAATGTTTAACTGCATTTCTTCATCAGCTAACTGTTTGTCAATTTTTTGTTTTTTCTTTAATTTAATGTTGGCCTTCTCTATGGGCAACATATCATCATCATCGTCGTCATCATCATCACTGTCTTTTTCTGCACCACTTGAGTCAGAATCGTATTCTAATTTACCACCACTGTCTGCTCCTTCATCTTCTGATGATGCATCTCCATTTTCATTATCTGAGTCCTTGAATAAATCATCTAAAGTTCCAACCTGAAAAACAATAAGCAATATTAGATTAATTGTATTAAAAAAATAAACAAGTGCAATAACATTCCTCATCTCTGTTAAATTATAAATGAAAGAAACTACAATAACCTTGTACTTTTCACCACCAACTTTCTTCTTTCCTGATGTATCATCATCAGAATCCACTTCCATTTCTGATTCATCATTGTCCTCATTACCACTGTCACCTTCATCATCATCATCTTCTTCTTCCGACTCCGACTTGTATGCCTTGGGTTTATTTTTCTCTTTCTGTTTGCCTTTTTGTTTAGGTTTCAACCATTCTTTGTTATCATCTGTAAAACCTGTCCAAAAATACTTTTTTAAAAACTTGGTATGTTATCATACTACATTTATTTTATATTGTTGAAACAAATACAAGCAATCTTAACTCTTTTACTTAAAAAAATAAAAAACTTAAACTACTTATGCATTTTCATCTCAGTTAATAAGTTAATTAAAAAACTCTTTTAAAATCATGCGTTGATTGATTGATGTTAAGTTTAGGTTAAGTATTTACTTTGGCTTCCATCATAAATAAAACTTAAAATGTAAAAATGCCACACCATTCAATTGTGGTCATTTGAGGCACAGTAGTAAAATAATAGGCGTTTTTTTTTTTAAAAGTCTTTGGTTCTCTCATGTAATATATTATTGTATGATACACCTACTTATATTTTAATTCAGTTATTCATATAATATTAATAATAATATACCTACTTTGCTTATTTTGGAGAACAGTAGCATCTTAACTAAGTCAACAATAACTGGTAATTTAGACATCGCAATTCTTAAAAAATTTAAATAAATAATAATTAGAATGAGGTCATTGTAATATGGAGTTATAATTACGACACTCTTTAAAATATTGAATCAAAGAGTAACATCTAATAATGATAATACCTTGTGGAGTCTCTTCATCGGAACTGTTATCTCCTTCATCATCAATAGTAACTTCTTTTTGTTTTGCAACATTTTTCTTTGCTTGTTTAAGTGCCTTCCTCTTTTCTGCTAATTCAGCCTTCTTTTTTGCTCTTTTTGCTGCTCTCTGCTTTTGTCTATGAGTGAGTTTCTTCTCTGTAGTGTCATCTTCCACTATAAAAGTAATGTTAAAAAAATTAGTATTGTAAAAAAAGCTTTGGTATTGTAAAAATCTCTAAATAATCTCCATCTTTTGGAGAGGCATGTATGTAGTCTGGCAATAGACAATTATGGGCCATTAGTAATGACAAATTTGATTATTTTAGGTTAGCATAGGTTTAACAAGTCACATTTTAGTGTGTATGCATAGAGAAGTACTTATTATGACATTGAGAATTTGTTTTAACACTTAAAACATTTTATAGACTACGTTTGGATTGAGAATATATAAACAAACAATATTTTTCGCATGGTTATTGCTTTGAATGTTGCAATAGTGTAATCAACATTTATTAATGATGTTACTGGGTGGATGTTTACCTAATGAAACTTATATTAATTTTATTTGACTAGGGAGTAAAAGGCAACAGAAGTTTACTTACGCAGTTCTTTTTTGAATACAGGGTCGGGCTGTTTGCGTGCTTTCCTGCCGGGTCCTTTCTTCACTTTCTTAGTTTCATCAAATTTAGCTTTCCGACCCATGATTTGTTAAACTAAGTATACGTACGATAATAATGTTTACTTGCAGTATTAATATGTCATCAATAAAGGTGTATATTAACTTAAAACTGTTGAGTTTTATCTATTTAGTCTATCACCATGCACGATTTCAAATTGACCACACGTGTTCGTGTTCTCAAAACGATGGTTGACATCAATGACATTTGAGATTTGACATAAGCATGAAATGACATTGACAATGTTAATAGTCTTGCTAGATCTTAAAATGGTTAGACACAAATAATTGGTAGATTAGACTTCCGTCTTTAAATACGTTATTTTTTTTAATTTTTGTTTATTTATTTACCAATAAACAATCTAATTCCAATAACGAAAAACAGATAGCAACCGCTATCACTAAGATTTAGATGAGTGTCTATTTCTCGTTCTACAAGTCTTACAATGTAGGTAATTCGTGCATGAGCAATATTGATATCAACCACATAAAATACACATTTTAAATTTGGGCAAGTTCATTTCGTCTATGTAACGCAGTTCCATAACAATGAATAACACTAACAACTAAACTTGTTGCGTTGGATAGTACAGAACGAGTTCACGACAAAACAATGAAAATTAATCGTTATTGTCTCAAACGTGGCCAGGTTGTTACTGGTTTCTTTATGATCCTTTTTTAATATCAGGCAGTTAATTTTTTAGGATTTTAATTTTAAAATCTCAAGATACCAACATTGGTAGCATTTAATTTAATAAGTTTGTAACACATATTACCATGCCATTGCCAGGTTGCAAATTTTTACAACATTGCAATGACAATAGCAGCTGTCAATCCCTAAATCTCTCTAGTCAAAAAAAACTCGCACAAAAGTCGATCTCTAAAGTCGGAAAGAAAACATTACCTAGTTCAAAATAAAGTATTTTGGAATCCTAGTGAAAATGCTTTAACTCTTTAAGTTTTTCGTCCCTGTAGTTTACAAAAGTTATTAAACTTATACAAAATGGTTTTAATAAAAAACGGCGCTAGAACCTTATTTCAAAAGCATGGCTTATACAGGTACGTAATTAAGATTAATTGACATTGTTCCTTAGAATCGTTTATGAATATATGTGGACTATCTGGTTGATGTCTCGCTGTTACCTTAATATGAAGTATTTCATTGCTCTTCCTATAGTTTTCAGGGTCATTACGTAAATAGAATATATGATGAAATTAGATGTCAATGTCATGGCACAGAGCTACAAAAAAGAAACATATTTAATTTCCCTAAAAAAGAACGAGTTCGTGAATATCGGGGAAGGCAGCTGGTAGGGTAAGTAATGTAGGGAATATAACTAATAAAAATAGTTTTGAACAACAAAAAGTTTGGAAGTCATCTAGTCATGTTTTTTTTTACTCATAAAATCTCATCCAGATTTCTTGGTTAAATTTGAAGGTGTTTTATGAATAAATAAGTGACTAATAATGAGTTCAGACAATTTGATAAGCATTTGCATAATGCCCATCGTTATGAATCATTTACATTTCAGTGATCAAATATTAATATATTCAACAGCTATCAAAATGTTCTTTCAGCTGTGTTATATTGCTATTGTTATTTATGATAATATTACCCACACAAGACCTGTTTGGAATTTAATAATATTATAAGCAATTATTTTGGAAGTTCATAGAAACTAATCTAAGTTATCATTGTTATTTTATTTTATTTTATTTTTGTTATATATTTATTTAAATTTAACATAAGTACTATGTTCTTTAATTTTGTATTAATACATGCTTGGAAATACCTAGAGAAAAATACTTATCCTACTAGTCCCAGAGTAAATTTAAGTAATGTCAGCACCATTATACATTTATACTTAGTCGGGTCATAAGTTCTGTCAAAACCTTATATTTTTAATTTTCGATTACTGGCCAGAAATTCTTCGACTTATTTTAAAAATAGAACTTTCGCGCTTGTAGAAAATAAAAAAGAAATTATTTTTTATTCATTTTTAAATATGGAGTGGTCGAATAAAGAAGACAGAATCGCGGTTATCGCGTTGCACCGCTGTGGTTACGCGCCAAAAGACATTTTCAATATTCTTCAAAATTTGAAAATAACGTTACGGTTTGTTTATCGTACTATCAAACGATACACCGAAGAGTCAAGCTTCGAAGATCGTAAGAGAAGCGGCCGACCTCGCACAGTTCGGACACATAAGGTCATCAAAGCAGTGAAGGCGCGAATCGAACGAAATCCCGTACGTAAACAAAAAATCCTAGCTCTGCAGATGGGGCTAAGCAGAACCACTGTTAAAAGAGTACTAAATGAAGACCTGGGACTACGAGCTTATCGTAAAAAGACAGGACATTTTTTGAACGAGCGTTTAAAAAAAATTAGGCTAGACAGATCCCGCGCTTTGCTACGACGGTACGCGGGAAAAAAATACCGCGAAATTCTTTTTTCGGATGAAAAAATTTTTACTATTGAAGAAAGTTTTAACAAACAAAATGATAAGGTGTATGCCCACAGCAGTGAAGAAGCAAGCGCGCGTATTGCGAGGGTCCAGCGTGGGCATTACCCTTCCTCATTCATGGTTTGGCTTGGAGTCTCATATTCAGGCGTAACTGAGGTGTTTTTCTGTGAAAAAGGTGTGAGAACTAGTGCCGAAGTTTATCAAAATACTGTCCTAACAAACATAGTGGAACCTCTTTCTCAGACAATGTTCAGGAACAGGCATTGGATATTCCAACAGGACTCTGCACCGGCTCATAAGGCACGAAGTACGCAAGACTGGTTGATCGCTCGTGGAATTGACTTCATCCGGCATGAAGACTGGCCCTCTTCTAGTCCAGATTTAAACCCACTGGACTACAAGATATGGCAATATTTGGAGGAAAAAGTCTGTGCTAAACCTCACCCGAATTTGGAGTCTCTCCGAGCATCTCTGGTTAAAGCAGCGGCAGACATAGATATGAATGTGGTGCGTGCAGCGATCGATGACTGGCCGCGTAGATTAAGGGCATGTGTTCAAAATGGGGGAGGGCATTTCGAATAATGTAAATAAAATTATATTGTACATTTAATGACCTTTCATTTCATATATAATTTTTAAATAATTGTCAAAAGGCGTATAAGTTATTACATCAAAAGTTTGTGACAGAACTTATGACCCGACTAAGTATTATATTTGATAAGTATCTCATCATAATAATATAAATTGTGATTTTACAACATCATATTTTGTATAATTTCAGCCATACAATGGATCAAATGTTTGAGGTAGTGTCAGATGTTGATAGTTACCATAAATTTCTTCCATGGTGCAAGAAGTCCATGGTAACACAGAGAAATACACAAAACCTAAAGGCAGATTTAGTCATTGGATTTCCCCCAATAAATGAGTCGTACACTTCAAATGTAACGCTGCTCAAACCACATTTAGTGAAAGCAGAATGTAAGGATGGCAAGCTCTTCCATCACATGTTAACCCTTTGGAGATTTAGTCCTGGACTCAAAAGAGAACTACAGTCTTGTGTAATTGATTTCCAAATTAGTTTTGAATTCCGTTCCGCCTTCCACTCACACCTATCGAATTTATTCTTTGACCAAGTTGCTCGACAGATGGAGAATGCTTTTATACAAGAAGTTGGTAGACGGTATGGACCAGCTTCCATACAACCAGTAAATTTACTACTGAATTCAAGTGCTTACAGAACTTGATGACATTTCGCCACAAAGACCATAGCCAAATTGTATTACTATAGTGTAAACATATTTATTGTGATTATGTGTTTTGAATTTGTGATTGTGATTAAATTGTGACATTTATGAATGTTTTTACCATGAAGCTATGCTTCAGTTATTGTTACTATAAAAGAAATAAACATATTATTTATTTAAAAATAGTTTTATTCACATTTGTCCACACTGTGATATTGTTACTGGTATTTTTGGTTTATTGTTTGGTCCAGTAGGAACATTTTCTATTTTTCTCATAACAAGAAGTCCATCTATTACTCTCCCAAACACAACATGCTTATTATCTAAAAAGTTACACTTAGCACATGTTATGAAGAATTGGCAGCCATTTGTATCTTTACCACTATTAGCCATTGATAGTAAACCAGGGGAGTCATGTTTTAGTGCAAAGTTTTCATCTGCAAATGTGCTTCCTCCATATATACTCATGACGCCAGTACCATCACCCTGAAAAAAATTACATCATTATATTACTACATTGAATAAGAATTATTATATTAATTAGAATGAGTTTTGCATGGCATAGCATAGCTTAATGGAATATTTACATGATAAGTATTATTTTGTTGTTTAGACATTCAGCTTTAAGCTATTTCTGTCATTGTTGTTGTGGTCATACAAAACATTCTATAACTATAAGAAAACTGTACAATACTTACATTGACAAAGTCTCCACCTTGGATCATAAAGTCCTTAATGACCCTGTGGAATGTAGCTCCTTTATACCCAAGTGGCACACCATCTCTTCTATACTCTCCTGTACAGAATTCTCTGAAGTTTTCGCTGGTTTTGGGCACTACATCCGCAAACAATTCAAATATCATACGCCCTATTTCCTACAAAAACAACAGAAAATATAAATTCTGAGTGAAATTAATACAGAAATATCACGAATAATGTTCGCAAATAGCAATTACCGTAGTCCCAACAGTTATATCAAAAAATACAACAGGATTGTTTGGGTTCCGAAGTTGAGATTGAATTTGATTCCAAGTTGGCATTTTGCTAGTTTAACTTAATATAATATCCTTAAACAGTTCTATTAATGCGGAGGAATAATCATTAGATAATAACAGCTAATATTTGCAGTATTTTCACACAAAAATAAAAGTTTTGTAAATATACCTAAATCTAACCTATAAAGCAACCGACTGTCAAGTCAAATTTCTAATTGACAAACAACATTTTTTTTTGGAGTTTATGGCCTGGATACGAGTCCTTTAAGCCAATGACAAACAACAAAGGTATCCACACCACAGATTAAAATAGTAGTATATACTGCCACCGGGGAAACGGCATCACTGTATTTTGATAGGTATTGTGGTTTAAATGATAGTTAATTAATTAGCAGTTTATACCTTGTGGTTTAACTGCATAATAGAGAGCATCTTAAACATCTTAACTGGTAGATTGACGTATTGGCCGGATAACCGACCCCTATAACGTGTCGTGGATTCGTAGATAATACATTAATAACTACATAATTATTAAGATAGTTTTTCGTGTTTTCGTATGTTTCGAGTCGTAGCGGCCCTGGGGTTAGGGCGACCGCTTATCATGTATGAGGGTATGGGTAAGAAACCTGGCAAGTAGCAATGTGACTTCCACTGACATACGGTGAAGGCAAACATCACGAGGAAACCTGGACTTATAATTTCTAATTATAAGATTGGAATCGGCCGCGGCCGGAAAACCCGCATTGAGCAAGCGTAATGCTAAAACCTTCTCCGTGTGAGAAGAGGCCTTTGCTCAGCAGTGGACACTTACAGGCTGGTGATGATGATGATGATGATAGTTTTTCTTATAGGTATTCCTTTTTACGCAGACTAGTAGGTCAGTCAGTCAATATTATATTTAACTGTCAATGTCAAAGTCAAAGTTCAATCAAACACACGTGAGAATGTTTTGATTTGATCTCAAAAAATGTTCTCAACTCATTCCAATAACAATTTTAAGTGTAACTATTCACAGAATACTATGAACCAGTCAGTAGAATATAATTTGTGTTTTGGTATTTGAAGATAATTTAACTGTACGGCTACCTGTCCGAATCAGACCATTATATTATAGGGGAAGCATTTACCTACCCATTCAAGAAACTGTTGCCTCCAAAAGCTGAAGCTTAAACCGAAGTCGAAACCACTATCAGGACCGAAGGTACATTTCTTGATTTTCCGTAGCTAGATCAAAATGGAGGAGGAACGTTTTGTTGACTATTATAAGGTATTAGAATGCGACAGAACAGTTACAGTTGATGAATTAAAACGGAATTACAAGCGTTTAGTTCTGTCTTCGCACCCAGACAAGAGTGATAATCAAAGTGATGAGAATTTTCTTCTGATACAGAAAGCGTGGTCTGTTCTAAAGGATCCTTTGACCAGAAAACAGTATGATGCTATGTTGTCATGTCATGAGAACAGTGAATCTTTGTTGTATGACTCTATATCTATTAAAGATATGGAATTTGACTCAAGTGAAGGGCTTTACATGTATCCTTGCAGATGTGGTGGTACATATGTGTTAGACTGTAAGACAATGACTTCTAAGGTCATAATTGGATGTGATGAGTGCTCCTTTTCCATACAAGTTGAGAAACCATTATGATAACTGGTACCTGTGAACTTTTTTTATAAACTGAATGTCTATTTTGCGATGGTTGAACAGCTGCTTTTTACTACATAAGTTTGAATATAGAATGCGATTGGCATGTACTACTTATAATAATAGGATACATCAGAATATTGGGAATGTATAAGAAGGTATTAAAACAAATTTTCAGTATATTTTCTTTTTATTTTGTGACATTGTTGTCATTTTGAATCTTGTAAAAGTAAAAGTAATAATATAGTGTATGTAATTAATTCAGTAATACATTTATTATTGTTTCTGGACATTTATTTTTATTATCACAGTGTGAATAACATAAAAAACTTTAAGTGTTTCAAGATGGAACACACATAGACAAGTTCTGACTTGTTGTGACGAGCCAACAGCATATTTATCCATTCCACACATTTATTTTGTATGTACTAGCTTTTGTCAGCTGATCCACCCACATTATCCAGACAAACAGTATAAGTACCTGTGATTTAATCCAGACTATAATCTATCCCTGCACCAATTTTCATGAAACTCCCTACAGTAGTTTTTATGTGAAATAGTAACAAACCTCCATTCACACATACTTACCAATTTTTGCATTGATAATTCTAGCAGGATGGTTCGAGACATGCTTAGTTAGTAGTTGTAGGTTGTATTGTACTGAGACATGTTGCATGCTATTAAACATTTGAAACCCACATCTTCTTGCGTGTCACAACATTCCACAATACATATGTCTATTTTCACCTTTAGTTCAGTCTTGTGATTTTTTTCTAAGTTACTTACAGTTGCAATGTAGTATAGGGCTCTGTAGATATTAAAGGGTCGCTGTGGCTTTATACATTACTAGCTACTCTCGCGCGGTTTCACCCACTGCTCCGCTCCATTTGATTGTAACGTGATGTTTTATAGCCTATAGCATTCAGGAACATTGTAGCTATGTATCAGTGAAAGAATTTTGGAAATCTGACCAGCTGTTCCAAATATCACCCCCTACATACAAACTTACAAATACCTCTTTATAATATTAGTATAGATATATCCACAGTAATCTAGTTTTTTTTTACTTATACATTTGACATGTCAAATATCTGTTTTATGGCCTATTAACGAATACAAATTCATTGTTTCATTGTTTCAATACCTATTGATTGAGGTATCACAAGTACCTACATTTCTAAATATGGAGGCATTCTGAAATTTTGAAACTTTACATAAATTTATTGCCCGAATCTCTCTAGTACAATCTGTTGCAATAACTATTCTTGATATAACAGGTTTTTTGCTTTTCGACATTTGAAAAAAGTATTGAATTTGACTAGTTTCTTCTATTTATGTTATAGTTTATAATCAGGATTTTATAAAAAAAAAACTTTAGAAATTTTGTAAATATCTTGCCTAACAATAGGATTTTCTCCTATGTCTTGGGTGCATTACAAACAAAGATACAAATGACACTGAGATACGATAAACAATTTGTGGATCACTCGAAGAGTTACTCGGGAATTGAACCCGCAACACGTTACGCGGCACTGGGTATCCAGCCAACGGCAACGTGCAAGCGGTTCAATAAAAAAGTATTACAGTGAATATAATGTTTTGAAATAAAACGATGGAGTTAAATATTTTAATAATGCCATTTATTTCGTGGTTAGAACTAGGCTAGTACATAAATACAAGGTTTGACGGAGTACAATGATTTATATTAAGGTTAACTCATAAAATGACTAAAATAAAATCTACATCTATAGTAAAATTTTGTACAGGTTCAAGTAATAATACCTATTACTTAGTTTGGAAATTATTTCTTGCGAAAATGAACTCATTAGGTACATACTAGCTATATATCGATATTTTCGAGAAAATCTATTCATTTAAATATTTTATACATTATAGAAGATCTAAGCTATCACATAATGTGAATTATAATTTCGTAACATTTTGCTTTTTACAAATACTTCATTGGCAAGATACTAATTTTATAATAAAATAGGACGTAAGTAAATTCATTGTAATATCTATAGAGAGTGAAAGGATAGAGAGATAATAAAATATTACCAGAGTTAGATAAGCAATTTGCTAAAGGAAGTGCTACAATAGCAAACAGTCCTATTTAACAATCATACCCCCACCTCGTGCGATGCTCTTGAAACATGGCAGGGTGGGGATAACTCCTCGTATAACAGCAGTATAAAATAATTCACAAGCACTCATTGAGATTACGATCTTATTAAATTACCAATAGCAATGTGTCAACACACACATTGAACGTTTTAAATTATAGCCATACACAAAATATATACACATTGTGCACATCTTTGTACTTTAAAATTAGATTCACATAAATATGTATTTATAGTCCAATAATGTCACCAATCATACACACTCTGCAGCGTGTTGGTTTCAACAACCGTAACACCAAATACACCAATCAATCAACACAGTCTCACTTTGTTCACGCATCTGTCCATGAAATTTCTTTTCCTCTTTGTTTGTGTGGCAGCATCTAAAGGCGTGGGCAAAGACAGCTGTGTGTGCATTTGTTCCTCGGCTTCTAATATACCTTCGCAGCTACGGCATCTACGTGAAGGTTTCTCTACCTCATGACTGTCTATGTTATCACTACTTTCAGACAGCATTTCAGGTAGACTGTAAAGTGATTTTTCTGGGGACGTGTTCTTAGAAGTATTACTACTAGTAGGTAATTGTTCGCAGCTTTGTGAGGACGCTAAAGATTTTCCCAAGGAAGATTGGCGATTTCTTCGTGGTCTGAAATAAAAAAATATTTTAAATAGAAGTTCAAAGCTAATAATTAGAAATCGTTAAAAATTGATTTTGGCGTTGAGATCACCAATTCGAAATATACATGTACATAAGATTAATAAATAATAAAGACTGTCGTAGCGTACCTAACAGGCGGCAGTGTGTGTATGGGTGGCTCTAGTCAATCTGCTTTATCACTTCCTCTGCTCTCGCAGGAAGCCATTCGCTGATAATTCGGTGGTCCTCGTCCGATGGTGGCTGTTCCTGGGGTTTGTGTGTCCCCACGACCTCTCAATTGTCCATCAAGTCGATTAGCGAGATTGGATTTTCCTCGGAGGAAACTGGAATAATAATATTTTATTTTACTTCAAATTGTATGAAGACTAAATCTCGCGCTATTTTTCTATAAAATATTACTCTCCACTTTAGGGATGTAAAAATTGTTAATTACCTTTCTAGCTTATCGACACACGCATCTTGATAGTCGTGTATCCATCTCACACCGTTGAAATGGCATACTGCTCGCATATCTTCAGGAAGTTCTTCAGCCTTAGGCCACTCAAAGTTGTCGATAATTGGTACAATATTGCATTGTGACTGCAACGCTGCCACTATCTCCTGTAAAATTGAATATTGATTAAGCATAGGTGCCTTAAGGTCTAATTTTGTACAGAATATTAGAATTTTACTTCTCAATATAAAACAGTACAAAAATAGAATAATGCTTACTCTGTGAACCCAGTCTTTTCTATCAGTATCTTTTTTACACCTGTCCAAAGCATTAGGCGTAAGGACAAGCAAGAAGTGTTTCGCCTGGCGTATGCTCTGGAGCAAATTGTTGTCAAACTTTCCAGCTTCTAATCGTTCCACATCTATGAACACTGTAAAACCTCGCAGCTGAAGGTGGACTTTTAGTAAACTAGCCAGTTGAGAACCGTTAGACCTACGGTAACTAACGAACACGTCCAAATTCTTTTCCATATTTTCTTCACCCTTGCTTAACAAACAGCACTCGTATGCTGAAATTATAAAATTAGAAATTTAATTACACGTTGATCAGTATCATACATTTATTATTAATCGTTAAAAATAAACCCTTAATAATCCAATCGCATGTGCAAGGTTCTTTGAGATTTAAACGTAGGTACTTATTTGCTTAAAGACTTCATAGTAAGCTTACCTCTAATAGCATTTAGAATCCTAAGTCTATGTATACTATTCTTAATTCGACACTCATTCTCTAGTTGCTCATCACTAAGTCCTCGGATAGATTCTTTGTCAACGCCAGCGTTTAACATAGAATATGTGTAAATTGTGTATTCTGGTCCTATGCCTTGCAAAAAGTCGTTGAGACTGCTTGTGTCCCGGGAAGTGTAATCAGCCATTTTCTTGAGTTGCTGAAGTTCTCTTGTGAATCTGTAAATAGAATTACGAATTAGTTAAGTTATTCAGTAACTAAAATTATGAATCTCACAGATAAATGCATAAATATTTGCAATTTTTGCGAAACGTAATGGACTTAGTACCTTTTGCGTTTGATTCCGTTTTGCAAACCGATATCCTCTTTAAGGTTTTCTTCACTTATTTGTAGTAACAAATCACCATCGACTCTACTTTCATAAAAGTTTGTTGCATATTCTGAGAATCCTATCTGCTTTACCCATTCTCGAACATCTTCTATCGACCAAAGAGGAACTTGCTGAGATAATTTATGCGGCACTTCCTCGCCTATCAGTCGTAAAGCTTGTGCAGCGTATTTTGATGCAACCGCATTGGGGCAGCTGGCCACCTTTTTCAACGATTCTATTGCACCAATTTCTCTAAATATTTCTGTATTTCCCTGTTGCTTTTTAATTCCCGCCTCCATGCAGAAATGAAAAGCTGCTAGATTTCTGGCTTCTTCTCTTTTTGAACTCAATACCGGGACTAACCTTTTTAACCAGTTCTTACTTTGACCGTGAGCGTGAGCAAGGTTTGATCGTGCAAATTCGGAAGGGTTATGTGAAGTAACAAAGGGTTCCACTAAATCAAGTGTGCCCGATTTAAGGACGGCGGCTTCGATCTCTTTGTTCGCAACTAAAACGGCAATGGCTAAGCAAGCGTAGTATTTGATGTTATCGTCAGTGTGGAACGCTAGCGGGAATAGCCACATCGGCACTTTCCTCTTAATCATTGCTTCTTGATTTTCAGCTCCACCATACAGTGACAGGTTAGCGAGAGCTGTTGCACAATGCCTTAGGGTTTCTATGTCATTCTTTCTACACTC